CCAATAATAACTTAGCATTTTTATCCCCCACTCCTCATACCATAAGTAAAAATAAATTCTACAATAATAGTAATAATTTGTATTAATATTATTATGTAATATATTAAAATTTATAATAATTGAAGTCGAAATTACTTGGCTGTTCCTAACAATAATATTTCTTTTCCTGTATGAACCTTTCTTGACAAAATACAGGTGAAGCATGTTTGGAATTAAGACACCTCCAATTATTTGAATATCCACCAATAGAAAAATCAGCCAATTGTGCACAAATATGCATGAACATATTAATCTGTATAATATCCAATTCTAGCCAAATGTCAAGAAAGTTCACTTAGCTATGCCCTGAAGTAATGGCAAAAATTTGCAAATTCATTGAAATCCGTCCCCTTGTTATAAATAATTTCTTAGTGATTTAACTGATTCAATCAATATATTATAAAAAGAGACGTTTATTTATTGCAACAATTTATTCGTGGTAACTTTTAATTTACTTTTTTTTGTAGTTAACTTCTAACGTTTTATTGTTCAGTACGATGCTATATAAAAGGAATTATTTCAGCACATGTTGAAAATAAAAATAAAAAAATTAAAGGCAGTATGTAATGCTAAAATTGCACCTCTGATCTGTGTGTAATGTAGCCTGGGGTAGCTCCTTCCCCTCTCCTTAGTAATATGTATTAATTAACAACCCCTTAACCCATTAATGATCAGTGGCCCAATTTTGGGACATCTACAAGGAAGGGATTTTTTAATTTTTTCTTTTGCAACTTTATTCCAAAGATTGGTATAGAAAATGCGTTTTTGAAGTTGTTAGAAATTTTGAAGAGATGGGTAGAAAATAATAATTTTTGAAAGCCCCTTCGACAAATTTTTTATAGTCCTTGTACTTGTGAAGTGTAAAAACCACCTTGAATGAAATGGAGAGGTTTACAAATTCTTAGACAATATCGTTACTAATCATTAGTTTTAACTACTCCATTTTGCATTGAGGTAATGAAGGTTTATCAGTTTTCATTGTTTCTCTGTCTTTTGCTTACTTGTACATGCTTTTGGTTTTATAGCTTGCAGGAAACATCTTATGGGTAGATTAATTCATCAAAAGGGATTAATGATAAAATTTGTTATGGTTTGGGTTATGTTTTTTAATGTACGTGTTTCATTGCTAATTTGACTACAAAAAATAATAGCTGTTTCTCCATAGTAAATGTGCAATTCTGGATGTTTGCATGAACTTAGGTTTGGAAATTGAAAAAATAAATTGAATGATTGACTCTACACAATGGCAAGGAATTTTGTCAATTGACTGATCTAAAATTTTGTCAATTTCGGGCTTCATTTACTTATCAGGAATTGATCCTGTTTTTGCCCATCCTCTGGGCATGATATCAACTACATGGATTTTAAAAAGTGAAGTGCTGAATGATTTAGCCAACATAACAGAACTAGAGTATTTTTGTAATCATGTACCACAAATACTCACCTGTGGAAAGGCATTGTATTTACAAATCACGCTGTATATCCATAAATTACTTGTAGGTTTCAGTAGGTTGTCTTTGCTACACACGTCAAATTTCATGACATGGCTCTGGCCTTCAGCCTACAATTAACATAAAATGTCTGACTCAAGTCTGCCCAACGCATAATTTCTAGAGCATTTCCAAATTAACTCGGAGAATTCAGCCTTCAGGATTTACACAAAGTGTTGTATGTATTGAAAACAGGCTATCAAGGGGGCAAATTTTGTTTCCGGCTCCACTCTAGAAGTGTCTTTTTGTCTTTCACTATTTCTACTAATTTCATCCAATTACTTTGCTATTGCGTGTTAGACTTCTGTATGGTTGGTTAAATCGCTTGTCAAAACTTACAATTGTTTGGTTAGCAGATTTCAAACGGTGAAGAATGCATGCCGCGTAGATTTCTTGTAAGTGAACTTCAGCCAAATGTTTTCTATTTACCAAGATCAGGAAATGTACTGTAGTGAAGTATAGCAGGAAATCCTGCTATCCACCTTAAGTTACAAATGTAATGTGTCATTTATAATCACTTTTTTTAATGTAAAGATATGCATTACATATACCCAACTAAACTTGCTCAACTCTCATTTAAAAACACACTACTTCAGAATAAAATAAAAAATTAAAAAACTGCTATCTTTACTTTGCTAACTATAATCTTGCTTTCATACACACTTACTCATGCTAAACCTAGATATTTTCGAAGAATATTTAGACAGAATCAAACATCTAAACAAGTGATAACAGATAAGCGTTAATTTACAATTTTATTAAAATATACTGTTAATACTTTAAAACCAGGTAATAATAGCAAGCAATAACTCATCTGGGACCCACTGCCTTTTTATTTAAAGCAAATATCACGAAATTGGTTGTGTAGATATGACGAATATAGTGTGTGTTTTCCTTGCTATGTCACAGTTTATGTTGCTGTGTGACGATGAGAAAATTCACTTCTCAAGTTGAGAAGATTGGAATGCGGCATGGGGATGTCTACATGCTATATACTCCCTTAACCATGGTCGCGAGGCAGGGTTGTCGCCGATAGGCCTGAGTCCATTCACGGGCTCTTGTGCAGTACAAAATTTCAGTATGATATATAAAGAAAATCCTGCAGGAAGCTATGCCTGTGCACAGACCTGAAAAATAATGAATTACAAAAACTTTTTGTTAAATAGTAACATGTTCTTTTTCACACTTAACATAAAATGAAACAAAAGAAAAATTATGACTGTGAGTAAAAGAAAAGAAAAATGTAAGTTTGGCGGTGGGGGAAACCAAACTATTGTAAACAAAAAGATGTAGGAAGCTATTGTAAATAAGACAAAAATGAATATATAATATTTCTGTCCAGATAAATCAAGAAAGCTCTTAGTATTTTGTCATTTTTTAACTTTTTTACAGTAGTAGTTTTTAAGATATCGGTTAACGCATTAAATGCTCTAATTCTAACTACATTATGTCTCCTCAAGCACAAGTCTTTGTTAACTCATGATGGTTGCATATTAGATAATCTTTTAATTTTAATCGCATTTAAATATTGGTTTTTAAGCTATGCATAATTATGTAAATTAGATTTTTCAATAAAGTAACGCTGTATATCTATTATATTTGTTGTTTAAATAAAGATGCTGTGGGGTATGATAAGTTTTTTATAATTAATTTTAATAATCCATTTTTGAATGTTAATTAATGATACTAGTGTAGATTAGTGTACTCCGCTCCAAGCTACTATACTGTAAGTTATAATTGACCAAAATAAAGCACTGTATATAATTAGCATTCACCTGATAAAGCATTGTATAAAATTGTTGCATATTATACAATTTAACAATAATTAAAGAATTGAGAGTGCTTTTGAGAAGTTTTTCTTGTTCTCATTATAAAGTCTTTCCGTTTGAGAAGGAAACTGAATGAGAAGTATTTCCTATTTTTGAAAAAGTTTAGAAGAGTAGAAAGGCTGTAAAAATTTTATATTATGAACATTGATAGTATAAAATTAATATATATTTATCCTATAACTAGTGGACCTGGCAATGCTTTGCTATTGCAGTGTATTACACAACACACACAACTGGTCATGTGGTTGCTAATCACATTTTACATTACGCTGTGCACAAATTCTAATACTCACGTAGTATGGGTTTGTTTTATGTCCTGGTTTGGACATGGTTGTCATGTATCCTATTGTTAATGTGTTCTCCCTCAAATTTGGTCATACGTTCGCTATGATACTACGTTGGAGAAATTTGATTTACTTGTCCTAGAGTCAAGTAATAATTCCGGCTGATATTTCACCATCGCAAGGGCAGAATACTTTCATGCAGTGAAGAAGTGCTTAATCCTTACTTGGCGGCAGGTTGCATAGGGTTCAGGGGAGTTTCAGTTGTCATAAATAAATAAATCACAACCCCCTCACATGTCTGATTTAATTCAAATCCCTCTTTAAACACTTCCAAATTAATAAAAACTAATGTGAAAATATCAGTAAAATCGGTCAAGTAGTTTTTGAGTGGATGAGCCACACACACATACAAATATTCCCTTTTATTTATATATATATATATATATATATATATATATATATATATATATATATATATATATATATATATATATATATATATATATAATATTATTAAATGTGCTTGGAATCTCTCAAATATTGTTGCAAAGTTCTTCAATTGTTCTTTTCAAGAACACTTGACACTTCAATTGTTCAGTTGTGCAATTGTTCCTGTGATTGATTGAGATGAGATTGGTGAAGGAAAGTTATGTAATTACAAACTTCGAAAAACTTGCAACTCTGCCCCCCCCCTTTTTTTTTTTTTTAAGGGAGAAAAGTTGTTTAAAATTTATTTTAAGCCCCAAATTCTATTCTACAATTTTGCTTTGAGATTTCACATTATTTTGTTCTGTGGGAAATACAGATTTGGATTTTATTATTTAGGCAATTTAAGTAAGTGTGGGTGTAGTGGGGGAAGGTTTCGATTATCATGCATTTTTAATTCTAGTTTTGGAAATTTTGTACTGCTGCAATTCTAAATAGTATTTAGTACAATTGTTTATAGGAATTTTATTGCTATATAATTTTAGGTTGAAAATACCAAAATTAGATAATTCTGAATATTAACTCGTTTTCAAATTAACATCTAGGAATACAGGCTGTTAAAAAATGTTTATATTTTCTTTAGATTTTCCCTCCTTGTTTCAGCTTGATCTTGGTTTGTATTTACATATCACCTTTGTTCTGTTCATTTTATTTTGTCTTTTTATATAACTTCTTTATTTTGTAACTTTTTTGTGGTCTGGAATCAAATAATTACATAGGCATACATGGAAAAAAAAGTTGTCAGATACAAAGACTTGCGTATGATTCTCTATGTATGATGATATGCTGAATCTAAATTTGAAGCCAGAATTGCGCCTCCATTCTCCAGATTTTTAAAAACCGGGAGCGCCCCCCCCCGTGGAATTGTATGTTTTTTATTTTTAGGGATTGTTGTCAGACCCAAAGATTTGACACGTTTCTCTATGTATGTTGATGTGCTGAATCCTAACGTGCAGCCAAAATTGCGCCATCACCCTACATTGTTACTTTTTCCTTGCAAAAAGCCACTGTGAAATTGTATATTTCACAGTGTTTTTTGTGAGAAAACAACTAGACGGTGATGGTGCAATTCAGCGTATCAACATTAATAGAGAAACATCTTTCAAGTCTTTGGGACTAACAATTTTTATTTTTTTATTTTGTCTGCCTGTGTTATTAGTTCACTTACTTTTCTCTCATTTTACACTTTTTCTTATTTTCATAATTGAAAATTCTGTCATAGCCTGTAATCGTATGATCTCAATGAAATTTAAGATAATTATAACAATTTCCTTCCCAACTTAGTAAAAATAAATTTTAGTATAAATTAGTTTTTATTGTTTTATTGTACTGTTGTCAGACTTATAATCAATTTTATTTATTTATTTAATTAAGAGGCTTCTTTTGATAATTGGATCACATGATAAAATGTTTGATTGTCACAGGTCATTTAATTATATTTAACAATTATATTGAAGTTGTGTGTTGGGGCAATTCAAAATGAGAAGGAATATTTAATTGTATATAAATTTTATAGCATAAAATAGCAAATTTTTGTCAGAGTCATGAAATTGATCTAAAGAAGGGGGGGAAATGGAAATAATTTTAATATTTTTGAAAAGACTGAAATATTATGCTTGAAATGCTTGCGGAGACACCATTTCTTCAGGCCTTGACATTTGAAATGCAGATGGCAAGTCATCACTTGTTTAAGTGCACATTATCTCATGCAGGGCTACATGGTTGTCATGCTTTCAATGCACTGTTTACTTCCAATCACTCTTCCACACTGCCCAAATGCACGTGTTCAAACATAGAGTTGATTTAACAGACTGTTAGAGACTTGCTGCTTGTTCCCTCCATCTTTTCTCGCCATTCTAAGCTTCATGCTGGTTTCTTGCCCCCACTCCCCCCTCGCCCTGCTAGCTTTCATTGATCTTCCAGTATTTGTTCTTGTTCTTAATACACGTTTTCTCCTGATTCTCTCCACCAAGTCTCTATATTCTGTATTTACATTATTTTCATACTTCACGAATTGTATTGTTCTGTCTGGCCTTTCTTGTAATTTAATCATGTTTATAATTTATTAGCACACCATTACTGCGATTTTATTAATTTTCTTTTAAGAATGAAGAGAAATATGAAACAAAATCTATTTTATTGCAGAAGGAATTGAAGATGTCAAAGATTGTCAGGAAGGATCAAATGTGGTTATACGGGTGTTAATAGTTTCGGTTTCTACTAAGGAGTTTTTAGACAGCATGAAAATAGTTTGTTGCAACTGTCATTTCAGAATAGTCGTAATTAATTTTTAGAATCTTATGTCAAAAATAAAATGGGAGTTTCCTTATGTATGAAGTTTGCTTATTAAACATTAACATAGCTTGTTGTCTTCCTGTCAGTATTGATAAATTCAGGAGGGTAATGTGCAGTGTTTGCAGTGTCTTTAGTACTGTAATGCCGTAGCGTGCTGAAAGTGCCTTTTGTGTAGTCTTGATCTAATGCCCAATAATCAGAAGTTGAACATAAATTCTGCCCACTCTGCAGGAAGCACATTATTTTTTAATTTCTCATACTTACTTCCTAAGAAGAGAAAATTTGTATTCATGTATTTCAAAACCGTGAATTTTCAACAGAAAACTCTTATTGCCAGGCTCTAGTAACAAAAAAAGTGGATAAGTCTTGTACCTATATGTAGGTAATATTTCTCTAACACATTGTGTAGTATGAATCCTTGTTTTATGGGTCATTTATACTGAAAAATTGATGGCAAAACATCATGTCTGTCTGTTTGTGGTCCATACTAGTGCCTGAACTGTTCAGCTGATTTTCTCCAAAATTAATATTCCCCAATTGACTCTAATGAACTTGAGACCCTCTGAGTTTGAGATGGTTATTTTGATTTTGGGGAGTATTTTACATAATTCAACATTTTTTTTAAAAATGGCTCCAAATTTTTTGATATAACTTTGTCCTCAGATAGTGTAGGATGCTTAAGAAAATAGTGCAGGTTTCATTTTTATCGAAATTCCCAAGTTCTCAAAAATTGCAAAAGTTAAATTTTTTTTCTGGTGTTTTCCTAAAACTACAGTATTGAAGATACAGATTTTTTTTTTTGTTCCTATTGAAATCTGTCCTTTAAAGATCAATCTTGAATCAGTTCATGTAATTTTTCTTGAAAATTGAGTAGTTTTTGGGTAGTTTTGGAAAAAATTAGTCGATTTTTAAATTTTATTATACTATTATTTTCTCAAAAGGCTCCTAATTATTACTTTACATTTTCTGCTCACGTGCATTAAAGAACTGGTTAAAAACAGTGGCGCTAGTCTCATTTCCGGCAAACTCTGAATTTTCACAAATGCCAAATTTTATTATTTAAAAATTAAAATATCTTGGTGATAGAGATTTTTGCATTAAACAAAATCTGTTTGGAGTTTATGCATTTTATTAAAATAACATTTTCTCAAAAACGGCTTAACATTTCTCCTGTGGATAGAACAAGGAAAACTTGTAAGAATGGTGCCAGTCTCATTGTTGTTGGTGTCAGAATTATTGAAAATGGCTAATTTAGAAATAATGCGAAAGTATGTGCAGTTGTAACACCACTAATTGTGTTCAGAGTGTCCTCCTGCCAGAAATGTACACATTATCCAAAACATCAACAGGTACTTTAATTTTTAATTCCTTTAATAGGAAGTTTATCAGTATTCATCAGTATTAGAAACATAAAAGAATTCTTGCAAACTGTGTGGATTCCTTTGGCAAAATTTACCTGGTAGAATGACTATTGAAAAAGTTCAAGCTTTGGAGTTGCTATTTTGTAATGAGACTTAATTTCAATAATAGAATAGGTAGGTAAATGACCTTCCTATTGTCCACCACATTAAGGTTTCTACGTACTATATTGCTGAGGCCATCAATATGATAAATTAATTGGAAGTATTCCTACTTTTTGGAGGGGGAAGAGGGTTATAAAAATGTTCACACTTAATGTGTGGCGGATACTCAGTAGTGAGAATTTAGCTGGCATTCATTCTTTTGCTCAGTTTATATGATTCTTAAGATGCTCAACAGCAATATTTGAACAAAAAAGTATTTTCCCAGTTCACTAGAGGCCATAAAAATAGTGGTTAACTGTATCATGTCATTGGGAGATTTCACTAATTTTCAAAGGAAGTACTTTGGTAATGTTGGGTGGTTAGGAGGATAAATTGCTATCATTTTCTTACTTTTATTATTTATTATTATTATTATTATTATTATTATTATTATTATTATTATTATTTATTATTATTATTATTAAATTATAGTTATTACATTATTAAATTTTTCTGAAGGGTATCTTTTCCCCCCTATAAATTATTTTCATTTTAACAAACCATTCAATACACCACATGTTATTCTCTGTAAGTGAATTGTCTAATTGCCATATACTTCTATCGTTCGCTCCAGGCTTGCAAGTAGCAAAGTTAAAATTTTATTTGTTTTAGATAATTTCATATCTTGAATGTTATATAACTAAATCTCTCTATTATATTATTAGTCTATTGATATCATATTGTGTTTTCTCTTTGTGTTTTTGGCATACTTAAAATATTTTATATTACAAGACTTATGCTTTGTGATATTTTCTGTTTGTTTATGCAATATTAAGGAGGAGATGGTTTGTATGGCAAGAAAAGGACATATCAGTATTAAAAAAAGGATATTGTCAACTCAGTTGTGATTTGGGCGCTTAAGTTAGATGCATATTGTCTTTCTCTTTTCTTTCTGATTTCTATATCTCGTTCTCCATTCAATGTTCTTGCAGCAAGTCAATGTTCTGCCGCTTTCAATAACTGGCTTCAACAGCAGAACATGAAACGAAACAGATAAAAATTTTAGCATCAGTGTCAGAGTAGAATGGGCACAGAGTAGAATCAATTTGCATGAGATATTGCATTCAGCATTGGGGCTGACCAAGGTTAGTTGAGTCTTCTGATGTCTGACATTTGACCAAAACTATAATGTAAGTTTCTTTAAACCTCTTGTAAATTTTTTTGAACATTTTGTTTTATTTTTCATGTGTTCTGTAGAAATTCAACCTATGAATTTAGAATGATGGAGGAACTATTATTATAACATGTTATAACATACCCCCCCTCTCCACTATTAAAATCTGGATTTTATGATGGGCATTTTGTGATGTGTTGCATTATAGCAATAATGATTATAAGAACAATCACGTGACTTACTCCAAAATGTTGTGTGGACTTCTGTTTCATGTGTCCTGATTACCTGCTTTACATCAGAATTCTAGAGGAACCTTGAGATGCCTCTAAAATACATTCCTGTTCTTTCAAGAAAAGATTTGTTTTTCTTTCAGTTGTTACTGTGATCATAAATAGTCATGTTGAAATGTGCTCATTTTGCTGTATAAAATGAGTCGTTATTGTTTATTTATTAACTTTATTTATGAATTAATTTGTATAAATATATTGATAGCTTTTGTTATATTTATGTGAATAATTGTACATAAGCATGTGAAGTGTAGTTTTGTAATACATTGTCACAACTTTTGGACAACGGCAGAAAGAAATGAATTCCTTAAAGTCATGAATATTTCTTCCATGGCAGAGCCATCCTCTGCTGCATGTAAAGAATTTTAATATTTCCACATTTCAAGTAAATGCATAACTTTAAGAATCCATTATAACTTAATTTTCTATGGGTGCATTTGAAGTAGATACCTTGTTTGCTATTCTGTTAGTGGTATTTGTAGGAATGGTTTGTTTCAGATCGTAGATTTTCTGAAGTTTCAAAATTTTTAAATTATTTCATTTTCAATCTGAATGTTGTCTCAAAAGTATGATAATGTGATTTTTGATGAATTACTATTTACAGTTTGTTTCTATATATGATCCTTTGTTAATTAAGATTAGAAAATAAATCAAGATATGGATTTGCTTTGAGTATGAGTGAAAGATGAAGAGATATTGATTAGAAAATATATTTAGATTTAATCTCCCTCATGCTGTACTACCTTGCAGTAAAAGTATTCCAATATGAATGTTTGAGTTAATATGTTGAATTAAGAGATACTTTATGTTTCTTGAAAAGCATTACAAGAAAATTGTAGTTCTTTGTAAATTTAATCTCTTCATCTTACCATCTTTGAAATGTTTCTCACCTGGTCACGACTTGTTTTTTTAAAGTAGTTGCCAATGTAGTTTTCACTATGTATTCTTGGAAGCTATTTGAACAACGGAGATTTATATGATGTTGCTTGATAATAAGAAAAGTTAAAGTCAGTGTCTGTAGAGAGTGTATTTTTATGGATGTGAGACAGTGTAATGGTATGAAAAGTGTTAAGTAAAAGATGACTTGGGGAAACTACTTTTGTTACATGGGCTGATGAATGTTCTAGTAGCTGTTTTGAAAATAATTCTGAATATCTCTTTATTCTTGTCAGTAATGTCTTTCATGCTTTCTTTGTTAATGCATTTGCAAAATAATTGAAATTCTCTGGATAACATTGATGTCGATAATAACTGTCTTGGAGGAATGAGTGGAAGTTAGCTTCTCAACTTCCATCTATGCATACAATGAATTTTTTATGTACTGAATTACTTGTTCATTGAAATGACACATTTAATAAAGTAAATAAGATGTTCTTGCTTTTAAAACTTTTTAAGCAATAACAAACGATGTTCAATGTGTAAACAAAATTCAGATAGTATTGTGATAACCATATCTATCTTAGTAGATCATTCTGGACGGCCAGTGTAATTTTTTTTTCAAACTAGAAATGATATATATGTATAAAAACAGTAATACTAAATCGCACAGAACATTAAATACAAGCACCCTGTACTTCATTGCAGTGTATTACTGTAACATTGTGATGTCAAGCCCATAGTGCATACTGTTCTTCAATGATATGTTGCATTGCCTTTCTTTTTTTCTGTTCATTGCATTTTTAATGATTTTTTCTTGAAATTTAAAGCAAATATATTTTCATGTCAATGATTTGAATATTTCCACTCATGACACAAATTAATTGCAAAATTTAGTATACGTTTAAATAAAAATTGAGAATATGTTATTTGAAATACCACCTTGCTAGTAGCTGTAGTTGATTATAGAATAAGATAAATTTTTTTGGCCTAACTACAATAATTTGTTTTGAAGTGTTGTTACAAATATTATACTCTAATTTTAACACAGTCCTGTGACGTAAATCAGCTATTACAGTGTCCTCCAATTGGGAGCTTGAATGTCACTATGATGTGGTTTAAGCTCCCGATTGGATGCCACCGTAACAGTTGATAACCTGTCAAAGGACAATGAATAAATCAAAGTATAATTAACTGCATTGTGTCCTATTATACACAGCAAATTGCTAGTAATTGAGCTATAAGGGATTAAAAAGTTAGAGTTGTTAGTAACTATACACTAAACCATCCTTACAGTTTTCATCAATCATATATTCCAATCCTTCTTGTCGTTCATGGCCAAGTTTCAAAAGCTGACAATGGTGACAATAGTATGAGTTGAGACAATTTTAACTTCTTAAAGATGACCCCACTTACCAATATATTTTCTACTTCTCTAGATGTAGTTGTTTTGAAATAAAACTTTGGAGATTAATCATAAAACTGAGTTAAACTCACTCTTACTGCAAAGAACACAGCACACAAGGTCTCTTGATCTATTCTTTTTAAAAATTTGGTTTGTTGTTTTACATTTTACCTGTTAATTGGTTCAAATTATGCCACTTCTATAGTTTTTCAAGAGGTCTCTATAAAAACAAGCAAAAAGAATTTGTTTTGGTTACATAGCAGTTTTACATTGAAGAAATTGTAATAATTGTAATAGAATTAAAGGAATGATTTTATGCAGTAGATTTCATTTTAATGTGGAAAATCTATGTCAAAAGCAATTACAATTCAAGTAAATGAAAATTAAACTGGAATAATAAATGGGATGTATATATTGACAAGAATTGATTAACGCTTGAAAATGTATTTGTCATATATCTTATGCAATGAACAATTAAAATGTTTGCATTACCATTAAAGCAACTTAATGGCATTACATAATTCAAAACGTTCAAGAAACATTAATAATTGTCACGATTGATCAATTTTATTATTCAGCATTTTGTCAACAGAACAAAAATGTGCTATTCATATTGTACTGGCTGTCATTAGAATTTTATTTCTTCTAATGAATGTGCTGCCAATGTGTTTTGGCACTGAATCCAATTGCTTTCTTTCCTTCCTGTAAATTATATTCTTGTGAATGTCACAACACTGTTGTAATTATTGTTATTGTCCCAGGTTCATTATATTAATGGCAATTTAAAAATATTAAAAAATGGTGAATTTAATAAAAGTGTATTTAAGAAAGTTTTGAAAATTAATTTATTTTCAGAGACGAATTTAAGGTTTTGTCTTTAACTAATTACTGATTCAGAGATATAACAGATGAAGAAAACCAAAACGATTCTACTGAATTCTCCATCAGAAGTGCGTCTGAATTGTAAAGATGAATTCAGTGGTTTAAATTTCATTATTTATATGGCAAATTCTATTCATTTGATGCATTGCAGTTGCATGTTGCAGAAGATAACATTTTTGTTATTTGCGTAGTCTGTTTTTTAAATGGTGATATAAAAACATGTGGACTAAATGTCTGAATTTTTTAAAATATGTTTATTCTTTTTGTGCTTTGTTTTCTTCTGGAAATTTCTTTATTTAGTAAAAACTGAGCATCCTGACAGTTGTCAGTATTGAAAAGAATTTATTTTCTTTTCTGTCTGGATCTACTATAATTTTTTTAATTCAGGAGCAAGGGCTCATTATATGTACATAGATAATTGATATCAATTTCTTTTTGTCTATTGCATAATCATGCAAATTTTTTTGTTACTTTTGAAAACTGATACTATAAGTTTATTAATTATAAAACTGTTGAATTCTAGTCTAATTTTTGCAAATGGTTATTTAATTTGGATTAAGGATAGTATAAGTTATCAAGTGAATGTATGAATGTGTGTGAATGTAGCTCTTTTAATTCTAGTTAATTGCTATAAAATGCCATACTGAATTATTTGTTCTTAAAAATCCATGTTATTCTGCATAGATATCTTGCCTTATTAAATCCATATACAGTTTCAGAAATCATGTTATTCAAAATTGATGAATCTGTTGTAACATGGAAACACATTTTTGTTCTTAAATTAATCAGTGTTTCCTATGTCCAGTTCTCTTTTCTAATGTTTTACGTAGGGAAAATGAACATTGTTTTGAATGCAAGATTTAAAATTTTCTATATACAAAAATTGTATATTA